CAAAGACTAAATATATTATTTCCTAATATCCCTCAGAATCACTAACTGCCCTTGGTTCTGGACTATCTTTCAAAGATTTTTATATAAAGAACAGCCTTGGAAGATAGAGATAGCCTCTCCATTTGGAGCAAAGGACAGGCATTCCTACTGAGTTCCCTACACTCCGGGTTCCTCTCCTCTAATGCTACCCACTCTGTGTGCGGGCATCCATCTAGGCCCATCTGAGTCACCCTTGTGGGAACTGGTGCTTGAGAAAGCTGCACAAAGGCTGATAACCTGGCTCCTGCTATTGCTGTGAGAAATAAAATGTCTTTTGTCTCTGAAGGGTGGCAGAATATGCCACTTTGGCATAAGGATTATTTTGAGCTCAAGGCACTAAAAGAAACAGGTGCAAAAGGGCGCTCTGGAAGATGTCCTCTCTATGCCAAGAGGAAAGTAACATTCTTATCATCAAGGACAGGAAGTTGAACTTGAGGGAATTCTGTACAAACTGTGCTAAATAATTTCTATCTTCCTTTAACCTCCCCTTCTATTTTAGTTACTTTTCCACTATTGATCTCTTTGTTCAGCCTAGTGTAAAAGCCTTTCAGTTTTGCCACTTCTTTGGGTCTTCATTTCCTTATGAGGGTTCCCATGTCACATAAAACTTATATTAAATAAATTTGTATGTTTTCTCCTGTTCATGTGTCTTATGGCAGGCCTAGCTGAAAACCCTAAGAGAATAGAGGTAAAATTTTGTCTGCCCTTACATCTCTGCCCCAGGTGTCTCCTCTCTTCCACCAACAACCTTGAAACTGTGGCAGGCTCATGTGTTACCTTACAAACACAGTCATCTATCAGACTGTTCACAGTTCTTGATAGTTACATGTTGTCAACAGGCAGAGCAAAGGGGACAGAAACTATTTTCACTTTTATACTTTGGTGTTTCAATCGTTACCACTTATGTGTAAGTTGCAATTCAAACTTAAGAATTACAATGCTGCAAAAGGATAAATATAGGATACTATCAGTGCATTAAGTTTCAGCTAAAATAACCAACCCCTACTGCTATTTCCTTATTTATCCTTTTAGACACTGTCTTTTCTATTTTGGAATTTGAGAATTGACCTCTGGTACTCATTATCCCACAACTGATTTCCATCTTCCATCCTCTCAGTACAATGTATTTTTTTATACTGAGACATGTAGTGTACTATGATGATATTTTCTTTTTTGTAAACTTTGATCATATTAAATTTATTAGTTGCCTTATCTTTTCATTTGATTAGTTTTCTGTCACTATAACATATTATTCCCTAATTCTCCAACATAACTGTGAAACTACTAAATACTTCTTTCTAACTGGTCAAATGCATTAGTTAATATTTTTCCCTGGAGAACTTCCAGAGTTCTCCAGTTGGGACTGGTTCATGCATAGTTAGAATCAGGGGCTTACCTTTGCTTCCTTCCTCTGCTGTAAAGTCTGTTTCTTGGATCCCATATCTCTTTTTTTCTTCTTGATTTTACTCATTTGTTTGGGTGGAACATATGATAAAATATGCACGTGAGATCTTTCATGTCTTCAAGGTATCTTTATTTTACCTCATACATGGGTTAATCATTTGATATAGAAATCTAAGTTAAAAATAATTTTCCCCTAGGATTTTGAAGGCATTGTTCCATTGTCTATCACCTCCAAGTGCTATTTTTGATTATTTCAATTCTACTCTATTTGTCCTTTGTATTTGTTTTTTTTTGTTTTTTTTTTCTGTCTGAAAACTTTGGGACTATCTTTCATCCACAGTATTTTGTAATTTCCCATTGATGTGTTTTGGTGTAGAAGTTACATCATTCATTGAACTGTGTGCTTGGCAAGACTTTCCCTCTAGGAACTAATTTTACTTTCTGGCAAATTTTCTGATATGATTATTTTGATACTTTCCTACTGTCTGTTTTTATGTTCTCATTATTTTGGAACTTCTACTAATTGGGATCCCTGGATTGCTTCTCTAGATTTTTTGTTTTCTTTTCTTATATTTTATACATTCAAGAAGATATTCAGCAAGTTGTGAAGCATAATATTAAAATGAACACTTATGAACACATCACTCAAAATCTAGAATTACATCATCCAATATAGTAGCCACTAGCCACATGTGGTTGTTTAGCACTTCAAATGTGGCCAACATGACTGAGAACTGAATTTTTAATTCTAATTAGTTTAAATTTAAATTTAAAGGAGGATTCTCTATTCTGTTACTGGAAAACTTTTAAGTATGTTTGAGACAACTTGGCTTTATAAATTGATTTTTTCAATTATAAGTGTTCTGAAATTCAAGTACAGCTCTAAGAACAATATTTCTAATGAAAATTTAGTGTACAAACTAAGATGTGCTACAAATGAAATACACACTGGATTTTAAAGACTTAGCACAAAAAAGTAAAATAAAATAAAATACTTCATTAATGTGTCTTTGATTGTATGTTGAACTGATATTTTGAATATACTGGGCCACATATAAAATATATTATTAAAATTAATTTCATTTATTTTTTACTTTTTTAATGAGAAAATTTAAAATTATATATGTGGCTGCTATTGTATTTCTGTTGGACAGTTCTGGGCTAGAACATTACTAAGACATTTGCATCAACTTATGTGCTTCTCTCCTATCCCATCACTCTGACTTGCTTTCAGAGGTAACTACTATCCCAAATTCTGTGTTTATCATTCCTTTACTTAAATAAATAATTTAAACCTATAAATATATCACTAATCAATGTATTATTTGTCTTGCTTGTTTTTGAACTTTATGAAAATGGTACCAAACTGTATGTTGTCTTCTGAGACTTGCTTTTTCCACTCAACATGAAATTTCTAATTACCCATGTTACTGTTTACAGCTATAGTTCATTCATTTTCACTGCTGAAAAATATTCCATTATCTAAATATGGAAAAATTTGTTTTTCTATTTACTGTGGATGAACATTTGGGTTGTTTCTGGGTTTTTGCTATTATGAACAATTATGCTATGAAAATGTTTGTACACGAATCTCGGTGCTTATGTGAAAGAGTTTCTCAGGATATATACCTAGGCATGGAATTGTTAAGTTGTAGGGTAAAGTTCAACTTTACAAGATAATATCTATTTGTTTTCCAAAGTGGTTGTATCAATTTATACCACTGGAGTCTAGAAGTATTCTATTTGGGCTCAATACAAAGGCATCTCAGCTTTCACAACAGGATGTCAGGCTTGCTACCCCTCCAGTCCACTGGTGTCTGAAGAATATGACTCTCCAATCAACAACACAAAACATCAACACTCCAGGATGGTCCAGAATTTAAACAGGAATTGCCACCTTGCCAGATTCTGTTAAAACTGACTGAAGAAATGATATGAAGGGATGCATTGTAGGGTTCTCAAGTTGGGCTCAGGACTTTGAGTTCAAAATCCAAATGCACACCATAGCTTGTGAATAAAATAAACACCCTGAACATGTATATACATTTTCCAAAAGCATATACATGTTGTTGCAATTAACAAAACCTCAAATTCTTCAGAAGAGCATGACAACATTTTGTCATCAAGCACTAAAGTACAACTACTGTTGTGTGTGCATGCACGGGGGGAGGGTGTCAGAGAAATTTGTTGATCATCAAATAAGGGGTCCTCAAACTCGAAAAAGATTGGAAAACCACTGCCAATTCTCCAGACATATCCTAAACTCTGTCCTTAAGTCATATATCATCTGAAAGCCATATATCCAGTTTCATCCTCCATAGAAACAATTTCACTGAGTTATGTCCTACATGCTTTCATCAACAAACTATATAAGAAATGGCCATTTAAAAAATATGCTCTAATTTCCTGTAGAAATTGAACCTAAGGAACAATGTTTTAATCTGTCTTTTGTATAATAACCATGTAATTCCCTTTGGAATTTACCAGAAAATTGCATCTCTTAGACTCCTTGTCCTTCATTTTTAGATAATGTGTAACCATTTCTCAAAACGTTTTCCATGAAACAAGAGTCCATGAAGATGCTCCCCTAAACAGGATTCTGTGGTCAATTACTTTTGGAAAGCAATGCTTTCTATAGCTCCTTTAAGATTCAGAAAGGACATTAGCATCTTACAAGCCCTGAGAAGTCTTTAAGAGAATTAAAAAACTCACCTAGCCAGCATTTCCCAAACTTTAAATTTTAAAGAAACATGAACCTGTAAAACACCTTTGAGAAGTGTTGGGTAACCTTTTGCTCATCTCTTTCTTTACCAGCCAGGGAACTTAGAACTACATTTAATTCTCAATTATGGTCATTATGTTAAGTAAGCTGACATATTTGCATCCTCTTCTAGGATTTTCAATTTCTATTTTAACAGGCTTATTGTGTGTGGGTATTTATTTTAATTCTGTCTGCAGTAAGGACCTGTAACATTTAAAAGAGAAAGGAAGGCTGTTAAGAGACACTGAAAGACTTGACAAGAAGGATATAAATTTACTAATACATTTGAAAGAGGATTTCCTATGTCATGCAAATAGGCATAGCAAATATTTAAGAAATTAACAGTTGGAAGAAATTTTTGTGTATTTATAACATAGTGGGACAGGCTTCACGCTCTTTCCATGTGTAAACTGCTACTTGAGCAGCGTACAGCTGACTTCTACTTATCTGTAATTTTTAAATACGCCCTTGCCCTGCCTCCCTTTCCGCCCTGAATCTCAGCAACCCTGATTCCATATGGAGAAGTACCATTCAGGCTTGAAGTTAAAACAAAACAAAACCGTGCTAAAAATGATCAATGTTTATCAATTAAAAAAATGTTCTGTGCTGAACTGAGGTATAACTTCACATCCAAAAGATGTGGTACAGGCACACAGAAATTGCCCAGGTTAAGTCTGAGCATTCGGGGAGCATTTATGCAGAATTTACTAGTTAAGTGATCTTGAGCAGGCTTCTTAATCTTTTTATGCAATTTTCTCATCCTATAGGGATGTGGTATGGATTTAACAAGTTAAAATAGTGGCTGGCACAAAGCAAACACTGGTAAGTATTTATTATTATTGACAGACAAAGCCTTGGAAGTGAATGTACTCACTGAAGAAACACTGAATAGGAAGGTCAAGGAGAAAGGCTTTGGGGATCTCACAATTAGGGGTCAGGGAATCAGGAGACAAGGGCAGTCTAAGATGGAGGAGGAGAAATGGGAAAGTGTAAACACCAGAATCATTACTCTTATGTGTTGGTGGTCAAAATATTGACTACTGAAAGGGTCTGAGAAACAGTTAGTGGAGAGAGGGGTTTCCCACTCTCATCAAGTTTGTGGGTTCTCCAAATTCTATGTTTTCTTTTCTTATGTCCAGTAAGATTTGAGCTCACTCGGAAAGCTTTTCCACACTCCTCACATTCATAAGGTTTCTCCCCAGTATGTACTCGCTTATGTCCAATTAGCGCTGAGCACTGACGGAAAGATGTGCCACACTCACTGCAGGAATATGGCTTCTCACCAGTGTGGATTCTTTTGTGCTGCCTCAGGACTGAACTATTATGAAAGGCCTTTCCACACACCTCACATTTGTAAGGCTTCTCTCCAGTGTGGATTCTTTGATGATTAGTCAAGTTTGACTTCCCACTGAAAGCTCTACCACACTCGGAGCATTTATAAGGTTTCTCTCCAGTGTGGATTCTTTGATGGATGGTAAGGCAATGCTGATCCTGGAAAGTTTTCCCACAATCCCCACATCGATAGGGCTTCTCTCCAGTGTGTTCTCTTTCATGAGCCCTGCGTTTACAGTTATGACGAAACGCTTTCCCACATTCCCTACACTTGTAAGGCTTCTCTTCAGTGTGGATTCTTCTATGTTTGGTGAGCTCTGCCTTGCTGCTGAAGGCTTTTCCACACTGAGGGCACTCATAGTGTTTCTCCTGAGTGTGGATTCTTTTGTGTTTGCTTAGGTCTGAGCTCCGGCTGAAGGCCCTCCCACACTCGTTGCACTCATAAGGTCGCTCCCCAGTGTGGATTCTTGTATGTTTGGTGAGGTCTGAACGCCCACTGAAGGCCTTCCCACACTCCCCACATTCATATGGTTTCTCCCCAGTGTGGATTCTGCCATGGATGGTAAGGGAATGCTTGAACTGGAAAGCCTTCCCACAGTCATTACATTCATAAGGCTTCTCCCCAGTGTGGATTATCTGATGCATACTGAGACGGTTCCTGGTCGTGAAGGCCTTCCCACAGTCATTGCATCCATGAGGCTTCTCCCCATTGTGGGTTTTTTTATGTCGGCAAAGAGCTGATCTACTACTGAAGGCCTTCTCACACTGGGTACAGTTAAAGGGTTTCTCCCCTGTGTGGATTATCTGGTGCATAGAAAGCTGATTTTTGGTCTTAAATGCTTTCCCACACTCATTACACATATAGGGTTTCTCACCAGAGTGAATTCGCTCATGGAGAATTAGGTCAGAATGCCAACTGAAATTTTTGCCACATTTGGCACATTCATGGAGTTTCTGTTCTATAAGAACTCTATTATATGGAATATATTTTGAGTTTGGATTGAAGTTTTTTCTAAGTATATTCTGATTCTTTCCTTTCTTGAAGGTCACTTTCTCACAGCTTTCTTTCTCTTCTCTCAGTTTCTCCCTCATAGGCATTTCCCATTGACTCTCTAATTTGACATCTTGTACACAAACTTCACCAACCTCAGGACCCTGGGAAACAACCTTTAGGAGACTTGTAAATTTCACCCAGCAGACTTCTTCATTTTCAAAAACCTCTTGTTCTGAACTTGCCTTCTCCTTCTCAGGCCATGACTTGTCAGTTGATACTTAAACCAGAAAATAAAAATGTCAGATGTTCAGAGAAAAGGAAATACATGAGATGGGAGAAGTGAAGCAATGTTAAGATGTTCGAAGAGTAAATAACTTTCCTATGCTGGAAAGATTGCTAACGTTACGGCAAAGGTTGAGATAGGCTGAAACAATGAAAAGGACTAGGATATTTCAAACTCAGGAAACTTTATAAAAATCTTGACAAACCTGCTCATCCTCTAGAATTTCCTACATTAGTGGATGGCAACTTCATACACCTAGTCACCCAAGACAGGAAACTGGAAATCATCTTCAACTCCTTCTCATATTTATTCAGTTAACATTTTACAAATTCTACCTGTGAAGTGAGCTGTAGAGGGGGTGCTGAAGTGCCAGAGCAGTCCCCTTTTAGGATCTGTCTGCTTTGCTCCAAGAGGCGGCCCTGGAGAGCCATATTTCTGCAGTGTAACTCTGCCCATCTGGGTAAGGCAGATTATATCTGGGCAACACTTGACTCAAACTAGGCCAGATTCTCTCTTCTTGGACTTTGGAATCATGATGTAAGAGCAGGTAAGGCCAAGCTCTGAAGGTAGCCAGATTGTTAGCAATTAAATTTGGGAACCAGTGGTCGTGGGATGGCATATTGTGCAAGGGAGGGAATGTTCTGCTACCTAGACTGAGAAGCAGAGAATGTCAGTCTGCCAAGAAAGAAGAATGAAGCAGACCCACAGAGTAGCAGAGAAGACAGCTGGAGAGAGGGGCCTGATGGCATTCCAGTCCCTTCTTAAGCCTGATATATAACTGCTCTTAGGTTCCATGACACACCCTGAATAATAAACAAATTCTTGTTCTTTTGCTTAAGCTAGCTTGAGTTAATTTCTACTGTTGGCAACCAACGAGTCCAAATCAATCTCTTATCTCTTAACTCTATCCCTTCCTCTTCATTTGTTCTACGTGCATTCTCACCAGCTAACTTCAATATCCCCCACATGTCCTTCAGTCTGCCTCCCCTCTAATCCATCCTCTACATTGCTTCCACATTATTCTTTCTAAAAGTCAAATCTAATCATGCCACTCTTTAGCTTAAAATACTTCAATGGCACTCCATAGTTAACCAGACAGAAAGGAAGTAAAGCATACAGTCAAGAGTCCCAGCTCTGGAATAAGACTGTCTGGGTTCAAATCTTAGCTCTGACACCTAATAGCTATACAAACTTGGGAGGATTATCTAACTTCTCTCTGTGCCTCAGTCGCTTTATCTATAAAATGGGATCTAGACTACCCATGATAATTAAATGAGTCAATGTACGTAAAGCACTTGCAACACTGAAGTAAGTACTTTATCAATCTTATCTGTTATTATAAGAATAAAGTTCAAGGTCTGTGGTTTATCAAAAACTCCATCAATCATGATCTTGCCCCCGTGTACTGCTCCTGTACTTTCCCCACTGGCTACCCCAAGTCCTTTGCTCTGGTCATACTGAATTAGTCACAGTTCATATTCTTTTACTCCTCAATACTTTCTTACGTGTTATTCCCTCTGCCTAGAATGCCTCTCCCCTCCTTCAACTAAATGATCTCACTTATTCCACGTAACTTAGTTCATTTGTCATTCCTTCTGCAGTCTTTTGGTCCCCAGGTCAGATTTAGATGCTTCTCTTCTATGTTTGTATATACCAGGTACATATCTCTAACTACATATCTCTATAACTCTCACCATAATGTACCATAGAATCACTTATTAACTCACCCGACTTCCCCACTAGAAAATTAGCTTCTGGAGGGCAGGGCCCATATTTTATTTGATTCTATATCTCTAGTACCTTCTATAGTGCCTGGTATACAATAGTTGCTCAATAAATGTTTGCTGGATGGGAGGAAGAAAGGAAGTGTAGTATTGTGATACGGCAGCTGGAGTTGGCCTATAAACAAAGAATGATTTTTTTTGGAGGGCAAACACAGAAAACAGTTTGAATGAAGAAATGATAATATTTCATGACTGACTAGACAAGAGAGAACAGAAAGGCAAAGTGAGAAAAATGTAGAACCAGATGTAGAAGTAGGCAGAGTTAATGAGAGACAGCCTGTGGGTAGAGATGAGTTTGACTTTAGACATGTTGCTTTCCAGGTGACAATGGGAAATCCAAATAAAAACCAGGAATTAGAAACATGAGACTGCTGCCTAGGAAAGAGGTGAGGGTTAGCATTATCATTGTGGCAGGAATGTGCATCAGAACTAAGAGCTGAAGCCACGAGAGAAACTAACTTCACAATAAGGAAGAACAGAAAAGGTAAGAGTGAAAGGCCCAGGACTCAAAATGGGGAAGATCCTGAAAAAAAACTGGAGGCAGAAAAGCAATGTTCTCTGAGCACTGGAGTAACTGATATATAGAGGGGAGACGAATTCTCTGAGCTTTTCTTGAGGACCAAATTGCAAAAAGCCTATTAGATAGGTTGCAAAGAACCAATTAGATAATGACAGAATAATTGCCCAAATAGCTTGTTGTTGTTGTTTTTTTTCCTCTTCCTTAAGGTTTCCTGATTGGATTTCCTTCTTAGTGACGGATTTCCCATCACTAAGAACATTCTATAACCATTTTGTCACATGGAAGAGAGGAGGGGACTGAGAGCTTCTCCATCACTTACCTGGGAAGGAGCAGCTCAGGAGCTCCCTGTCCTGTAGATCCTGAACACAGGGCTCTGCCCCTCGCTCCAGATGGGAGATCAAAGGAGGTTTAGGAAATGGAAATCCTGGTTGTAGAGAAGGAATAAGACAGTGTGTAGAGCAACACAGAACTGTCCTAACACTTGCCTTGACCCCTCTGTTTGCATATGGAAACAGGAACGAAATGTCCATTTGGGTAGAGAAAAGAGTTTATTCAGGGGTCTGGTAACATGTAAATGAACAGGTTTAGGGACTTTCTCAGAAAAGTCATACTCAGAAGGGCAAAGAGATTCTGGGAAATAACCATTTGGTTGTATTTCCTTGTTCTATTTAGGAGGATGGGAGTCTATACAGGGAGGCCATCTGTTTTGGGCCACTAGGAAAGAGTTCATGACTAGGAGCTGAATAAAGAGCACCTAATGAAAAAGAAGAGGCATGAGGAGGCAAGAATCCAGGGAGAACAGAAGCTAAGTGTCTCCTTTTTACCCAGGCAGAGTCTCATTCCAAAAAATCAGAAACAGCAAATAGTTTAGCCAGAAAATTATCTTGTTATGTAACAGAGGCAACTCAAAACTCTAATTTTGGGGGAAGATCCTAATGATAAAGAATGAGGGCTCTGACTTTCAATATGAGACCCCATATACATCAATAAATAAAGGAGTTAAAAAAAAAGGGAGAAAGTACTAAGCGAAGTGCAGTGAAAGTCCTTACCAAGCGATACCACGTTCCCATAATTTTCCAGCATCACATCTTTATAGAGGTGCCTTTGAGCGTGGGTCAGACACTGCCACTCCCTGCTACTGAAGCTCACAGCTACATCCTCAAATGTCACTGGCTCCTGAAACAATATGTTCCTGCTGTCCTGGAGGAAACTTCATAGTTCTCTCAGGAAACAGAGGCAGAAGAAAAGGATTTGTAGGGAGAAGGTTTACAGAAGTGAAAGGCTGTTACTGTTTGGAATATATTTGGGGATGAGGTGAAAGGGAGCATAGGCTTTCAAAAGCAAAAAATAATGAAAGAGGAAACAATCCACAAGTGGTTTATCATCCAACAAAATGATCCTTATGAGAGTGAGCATCTGGATTTGGGAGTTGTACAGCCAGGGAATGCAGTGAAAATAAGGCCATATTTAGAAGGCAGTGATATATTTTCAGGAAGAATGGAGGGGGCCTCAGCCCACTTGGGCCCGGCTCACCAGTGTGAGATTTGCTCCCGGCAGGTTTCCTTGGCTTCCACCTTTGCCAAAGGCAGGATATTGAGCAGCTGGTAGAGCTGAGAGAAGAGAAATAAGCCAAGGGTCAATGTAGCATATTATTGATGAAAACTTCCGCTTTCACCATCTCTTCCCCAAATGTAGAAGCTTATTGAGCTCTAACTCAGGGGTTAAGTCTACTGGCTCACAGTACCCTCCTTCTCCATTATTTCTCTAGTCTTGGTTTCCAGTTTTGGGCATCAGGCCCTGGCACAGCAGCCAAACCAAGCGTATGTGCATTCTTCCTCTCTCACCTACTATACGTTTTTCTCTGGTCTCTCTTTATCCTAGAACAACCTTATTCCCTCCCCAAAAGGCTCAAATCACGATCACCAGCTTGTATGATAATCTCTCTTCTTGTATTTGAATTTTGAAGTCATTTTCTCCAAAAAGACTTGGGGTGGGTGTGGGGGGAAAGGAAAGGAGGGGAGGTGTGAAACAGAAATATCCAGGGATAGGCCTAAAGCTTATTTCTTTTGGTAACTAAATGGCTGGTCTACCTCCAACTAGTTTATTAGAAAAAATTTTTTCCTTGTTCTTATTAGAGAAGAATCACTTTCCCCAGTGATTATTTCTCCTATTAATTCCCTAGCAGTAAGCTATCGTCCTCAAACCAGTGTATAATGGTACACACAGCTTTTTAAAATGCAAGAGATACTTTCTCACAGCGTCCAAGCATCTAGGTATAATCCATACGGATTGAGTGAGAAGTACAGTTTCACATTACCAATTAATGGGGTCCTATTTTCTTCCTTGCAGGCCAGCTCAACCCTTCTGTAGCTTCAGTGTTCATGGTGACTTATCTTTCTTGATAGTTCATTAACACATCCCCAAGTCCAAGCTTGAATGGGGTCAGTCACCTATTGGTAAGACTCTAGGATTACCCCTTGGCTTCAGGCCCCCAAAACTATCATTCCAATTTTACCAAAACTCAGTTTAGGAGTAAACTGGCTTCTTCCCATAGAAATTTCCCAAGAAGACTCTTCTTTGGTTTGGCCTACTCTTAGCTTTTGACCAAGACCAGGGCTGTGTTTGAGTCACTGTGGATACCACTCAGTTTTTCCATTATCGCACTCTAAAAACCCAAGTTATTTTATAATTCTTTATCTTAAAAAGTCCCCAACCCCCTTGGACAACACACAGCTCACAGAAGATACATGTTCTGCTCTGTAATCTTATACAACAGTTCTTTTCCTTATAACATCAACAAACTTAAACCTCCCAGTTGGGCTTTTTTCAGTGAACACTTTATTATGAACATTTCAAATATAAAGAAAATTGAAAGAACTGTATAGTAAACATCCATATATTCGCCACTTATATTCTACAATTAACATTTTGCAACATTTACTTTCTCACATATGTCTCCATGTAACTATCCCTGTATCTGTCCATTAATCGATTTTATTTTCTGATACATTTCAAAGTAAGTTGAAGACATCAGTATACTTTACCGCTAAACACTTTATCACACATATCATTAACTATTAGAGTTCATTATTTCTTTACATTCTTGTTTTTGAAGTAAAATTTACATACAGTAAAATGTATAAGTCTTAAGTGTACCATTGGATAAGTTTTTTTTTTTTCTTGCTGAGGAAGATTCGCCCTGAGCTAACATCTGTTGCCAATCTTCCTTTCTTTGCTTGAGGAATATTTGCCTTGAGCCAACATCTGTGCTAATCTTGCTCTATTTTATATGTGGGTCGCCACTGCAGCATGGCCGCTGATGAGTGGTTTAAGTCTGTGCCCAGGAACCGAAGCTGGGCTGCTGAAGCAAAGCGTGCTGAACTTAACCCTTAGGCCACGGGGCCAGCCCCCCAGTGGATAAGTTTTGACAAAACATCCTCCTGTCTAACCCAAACTCCCCTCCAGATATATCCTAGCTGGATTTTTACCATATCCTCTTCACAAATTGGGAAAGTTTTGTTAACTCATAGTAGTTCTTTTTTTTTTGTAAAGTGTTCATTACATTAAAATTTTTTTTAATTGTGGTAAAAAACATATAACATAAAATTTACCATCTTAACCATTTTTAAGTGTACAGTTCAATAGTGTTAAAAATACTCACAATGTTGTGTAATAGATCTCCAGAAGTTTTTCATCTTGCAAAATTGAAACTCTATACCCAGTAAACAACTCCCCACTTCTCCCTCTCCTCAGCATCTGGTAACCCACACAATGATTGTTGTTGTTGTTTTTTTTTTTTTTTGGTGAGGAAGACCAGTCCTGAGCTAACATACTAACATTCTTTTTTGCTGAGGAAGACTGGCCCTGGGCTAACATTTGTGCCCATCTTCCTCTACTTTATATGGGATGCCGCCACAGCATGGCTTAACAAGCAGTGCATCGGTGCACACCCTGGATCCGAACCAGCGAACCCCAGGCCGCCGCAGCAGAGCGCGCACACTTAACTGCTTGCGCCACCGGGCCGGCCCCATCAAAACAATGATTCTTTTTTTTTTTTTTTAATTTTTTGTTTATTGCAGTAACATTGGTTTATAACATTGTATAAATTTCAGGTGTACATCATTATACTTCTATTTCTGCATAGATTACATCATGTTCACCACCCAAATACTAATTACAACCCATCCCACACACATGGGCCGAATTATCCTTTTCGCCCTCCTCCCTCCCCCCTTCCCCTCTGGTAACCACCAATCCAATCTCTGTCTCTATGTGTTTGTTTAATGATTCTTAAGCTTTATTTTTTAGCTTCAGAATTTGAAATGTCAGCTTCTGCCCTCAAATTAAAAATGAACTTGGGAGACAGCCTATATGCTCAAACAACAATACAAAACTATCTTAGTCAACTTCGGCTGACATAACGAAATACCATAGACTGGTGGCTTAAATACCAAAAATTTATTTCTCACAGTTCTGGAGGCTGGAAGTGTGAGATCAGGGTGCCAGCGTGGTTAGGTTCTGTTAAGAGCTCTCTTCCTGGCTTGCCTTCTTGCTTTGTCCTCACATAGAGACCTTCCCCTTCTTATAAGGATGCTAATCTCATCATGGGGGCCCTACCCTTATGACTTTATCTAACCTAATTACCTCCCAGAGGCCCCACCTCTAAATATTATCATATTGGGGGTTAAGACTTCAACATATGAATTTTGAGGGGACACAAGCATTCAGTCCATAACGATACTATTTGTTAAAGCGGTGTACAGAGTTATCTGGGACAAGATTAGTTCATTTATATTATATGTTAGGTAATTGTAAATTTATGGTCCTTAAAATCACCTATGGGAAGAGAATTCAAGATCTTTTGAGAAAAGGAGGACTGGGAGACTCCATCAGATGTGAATCATAAGAATGTATATATTTTTATATTTAACAAAACGAAATAAAATGAGCACCCAAGTTAAGCAATATCCATTATTTTCTACCTCTCTTAAATTTGTAATACATATGTTCTATATTATTAATTTTCATTTATGATTCCTTATACGGTAGAAATTTCAGGATTTCTCCTCTGGAAGTTCCAATAATATACTTAGAAATGTATTTTACTTTTTTTTTCTTTGGAGGTAAGATATACTAAAAAGCCTACTTTTCGGGTGTCCAGGTGCCTAGTTCTCTGTCTATAAGTCTATGCCTTTCAGGGTCTGATTTTATGACTCCAGAATTCCCAAATACCATCTCCTGGGTCCCACTTCCATCAGTCACTTCTTATAGAAAGCTTACCCATTTTTCTCTTCACATATGGCACTAAAGAGCATTTCTAATGCCCAGAATCACTAAATAATAAAATTCTTTTACTTTTCCCAAAGCTTCATGACAAAATCTTTACTCTTTCTTTTGCCACTGCTTTATCTTCTATTTCTCAGTATAATTAAAAAATTTCAGGGTTCCAAAAAAGCCTCCAGAAATAAAATTACACATACTCAAACTTTACAAGTTGGTAAAATTGTGGTTGAGTAGGAGTTACTGAATTATATCACAAGTTTCATACGTGTAAATATTTATGTACACATAGGTAAACTATTTATCATATATATCAAGTTGTACATATACCAAGTGATTGAAGGCAATCAATTTCTTTGATAAATTGCTCTGTAGAATCTTTTCTTACGAATCTTTGCTTATTTTCAAATTTAATTTAAGATGAGGGCAGAAACTGAATAATTTACCTCCTCTCAATACTAATCCAAGTTTAGTACAGAAATGACAGAAACATTCTATAAATGCTCAATAATAAGCAGATTTCCAGGCCCCAGGAAGCATCTCCCATCCATTCGGTGTCCCTGCTCCATTCTCAGGTCCCATGCCACAATACCCTGTGTGCCTCACCTCTTTCCTGCAGGAGCTGGGTTTCAGGGGTCCAAAGCAGCTGGCTTGGTGGTCCTGGACTCTCAACTGACATTACAACCTATTGCAGGGCACAGAATAAATTCGGGGAGGTTATGGAGGAGAGAAAAATATATGGGAAACTGCAACCAACTATAAAGATTTTCCATGGAAATACTATGAGGAGAGAGAAAATCAGGGACTCAGTCCCTAACTGACCTTATGAAAAGTAGAAAAGGCATCCAATTACTCTATAACTAGAAAGGGTTCATTACATTAAAAACTCTTTTTTTCTTGTTTTTTTTTTTTTTCTAATGGGGTAACATTGGTTTATAACATTGTATAAATTTCAGGTATACATCATTATACTTCTATTTCTGCACAGATTACATCATGTTCTCATGTTCACCACCCAAATACTAATTACAATCCATCACCACACACATGTGCCTAATTATCCCTTTCGCCCTCCTCTCTCCCCTTAAAAACTTTTTTTAACTATGGTAAAAAACACAACATAAAATTTAACTTTGATTTATGATTTAACGATCACCAGCCATCCATGAAAAATAATATCCAGAAGGAGAAGACTTCCACAAGGTCAATCCAGGCCCACCCACACTCCCACTGCTTTCCTCCTTTCCTGGACTCATTTCCCCTTCTTCCTCCTTGTGATATATCGCAGACCCTCCTCTTCATACCTGTTGCAATTTTTTACCCAGCTTTCTTTTCCAGTCTTCCAATACTGTCCTGGTTTCTTCTCTGCTGGCTGGATCCAACTCCCAAAGTCAGTTCTGGCTTTGCCCAGACGAGTTTTGAAGTGGCTCTGGTGGATGCCAGCCTCCTTTGGGGGATACGAATCTCGGTGGTGTCAGCCCAAGTGCCTCTCCTGACCCACAGGGCAGCTGCTATTTGGCTCGATGTGTCAAACACTGCCTTGGATTTGGGGTTCGTGAGCAGCACTAAGCTAGCTGTGATCTCGCACCTTCTTTTCCTGTATATTCGATGAAAGGATGAGAAAAGAAAGGAACGTGACCGCAGCAAAAAGAAGGAATCACTGAGGATCTGAGGTATCTATGAGAGATGAGGGAGCACAGGAAGACAAATTAAAAATGTTAATATATTCAGAATACAACCTCCACTGCTACCACCTTGCTCCAAGCCACCATCACCTGCCTTGCCCCCCATTACTGCAGTAGCCTTGTAACTGGTCTCCCTGCTTCTATTCTTGCCTTCCGTCTGTCTCTTCTCTATACAACAGTCAGAGTGGTCCACTTAAAATTTAAGTTGGATTATTTCATCTCTCTGCTTAAAACCTCCCAAGGGCTTCATCTTACTCAAAATAATCAATGGCATACAAGGCCCTATAGAATGTGTGCATTTCTTCTAACCATCTCTCTTGCTTATTCAAAATAAAAGCTGAAGTTGTTACAGTGGCATACAAGTCTATAGGATGTGCCTATTACCTCTCCTACTATTCTCTCCCTCATTCAATCCTCTTCAGTCACACGGACTTTCTTTCTCTTCCATCTTAGGCACATTTCCATCTTAGGGCCTTTGCATCAGTTGTTCTCTCCACCTCAAGCTAACCTCATGGCAAATAATCTTGCCTCCTTCAAGTGTTTGCTTGTATGTCATCTTCCCAAGGAGACCTACTTTAGGTTCCCTATTTAAAATTGCAACCTACCCTCTCCTTCCAATCCCCATATGCCTTACCTTGCTTTACATTTCCTCTATTTTTTTTTTTCTGTAGCACTTTATCACTTTCCAACATGGTGCATGTTACCTATATACTATGTCTATTGTTTATTGTCGGTCTCCTCTTCACCAAAATATAGGCTCCTAGGCTCTTGAATGCAGGGATTTTTGTCTATTTTGTTCACTGCTGTATTCCCAACATCTAAAACAGTGCCTGCACTAGTAGGCGCTTAATTAAGAACTGGCTGAATGAATAACACATGAATGGATGCTGGTGAGAAAAGATAAAGAATGGGTAAACCACTGGAATAAGAAGGGCAGGAGGGAGTTGGCATACCAGAGGGAAAGCCCTGTCTGGGGGAGGAACCCCAGCGGACCCCACTCCCAGGGGACCCGGCTCCAAAGCCCCGCCCCGTCCCCGCCAGCAATCCCGGGTGCACCAAAGGAGGTGGTGTATTTAAAAAAGGCGAGCGGCGAGTGGCGGCGCCGGGCTCCTCCCCACCCGCCTCTCAGCCAGTTTCCAGGCCCCACTAGCAGCTTGGGAGCCCCAACTGAGTTCCCGTCCCACCCTGGCTCGGGGCACAGACCTTCCCGCCGATATTTTCCCCAAGAAATGATAAAATAGACAAATCTAGACTAGTTCCACTTCCTAGTCCTCCAGTAATCATTTCCGGTGACTTTCTAGGAAACGCCTCAACTCGCTGGTCGAGGAGTTCCCTGGAAACTCTCCGCCCGCGCTCCTCCGGCTTAAGCCTTCTAGGAGTTTGCGCAAGGTTATCAGGGGTAAACGGCTCCAGTAGCGTTATCGTATTGAAACGTTATTGTCGTGGAGGGATGTCTTGATTGGCATGGACAGAAATTTTGTGAGATAAATATATGAAAAAGTTACTTTTAAATATTAGCTAAGAACACAAAAATAAATTGAATGCCGTTTTTCAAAAATTAAAAAATTCGTTATGAAAAATTTAAGCCTACACGAAAGTTGAGAGAACAGTATAATGAGCCCCCATATACTCATCGCTCAGACTTAATAAATAAGACTCTGCCACACTTATTTCATCTGTGTCTCGTTTTTCTCGCTGAAATATTTTAATGCAAAACGCAAACGTTATTTCAATTTTATGCTCTTCAGAATGCATCTCTTAAAAAATATGGCATTTTCTAACTGAACCACAATGCCATTATCCCACCTAACAAAACTAAAATAATTCCCAGTTACCATCTAATACCGAGTCCCTATTAAACTTTGCTAAATATACAAAATACGCTTCTTTTTTGAATCAAGATCTAAAGTCTACATGCTTTATTTGGTTATTTCTGTTTCTCCTAAGATCTTTTACTTTTGTCCCTGTTTAACAAATTGGGTCATTTGTCCAGAATTTTCCACGTGCTGTCTTTGTGTATTTGTGTCCTCATTTGTTTCTCTAGCCTTGTATTTCCTGTTAGCTAGATGCTGCTCTAATGATTTGATTCGAGTTTGGTTTACCTTTATGGGTAAGAATTCTTAGCTGTTGCTATGTACTTTTTTGCTTTATTTTATTTTATTTTTTTTTTTTTGGACTCTTTTTTTTTTTTTATTGCAGTAACATTGGTTTATAACATTGCAAAAATTTCAGGTGTACATCATTGTACTTCTATTTCTGCATGGACTGCATCATGTTCACCACCAAAATACTAATTAC